CATGAAAGCTTATGCTCTAATAAATTTGTTAGTCTCTAAGGTGCCACAAGTCCTCCTGTTCTTCTTTTTTTTAATAAATGTGGCGTTTTGTCTTATTCCCCCTGAAAAGATCCTGTGCAGTACTTTAAGTACAACACGGGGCCCTCTTAGGCACGGGGCCCGATTTGGGGGAATTGGTGGAATTGGCCTAAAGCCGGCCCTGCACCTGGTCATGCCTCCATGTAGAAGCTGGAGGGGGGACATGCCACTGTTTCTGAGAGCTGCTTAAGGTAAGCGCTGCCCAGAGCCTGCACTCCTGCCCCCCTCCCAGGCCCCAACCTCCTGCCCTGATCCCCCCTCCTGCCCTCCAAATCCCTTGATCCCAGCCCAGAGCACCCTCCTGCACCCCAAACCCCTCATCCCCAGCCCCACACAAGTGCCTGCATTCACAGCCGGAGCCCCCCACACACACCTCAACCCCTGCCCCAGCTTGGAGCCCCCTCCCACATCCTGAACTCCTCATTTCTGGCCCCACCCCAGAGCCCACACCCCCAGCCAGAGTCTTCACCCCCTCCTGCACCCCAACTTCATGAGCATTCAAGGCCTGCCATACAATCTCCATACCCAGATGTGGCCCTCGGGACAAAAAGTTTGCCCACCCCTGCTGCAGAGGCTCATGCACTAAGCTCCAGAAGTCCCTGGTTTCATCCTGCCCGCTGACGACCCGGGTCTGTCAGTGTAACATCTGCATGACCCTGGATAGGAAGGTCCCACAGGAGCTACAGCAAAGCATGAGACAGTGACCAGCCCAAGAGCCTTAGCCCTGAGGCCTCAAAGGAGGGGCACCGATTCCCCTCACAGGTGCTTAGGAAGGGGGAAATCCTCCTCCACAGAGAGCCCTCTGAAGGGGGCTTTGAGCCAGAGACTGGGCTTAACTCAGCCTCCCTGGTGGGCTCTGCCACCCCCAGCATGGGCCCACCGGCTGCAAGGCAATGTATTCTGGCAATTCTAACCTTGGGGGGCTCCATCGGCCGGGCCGGGGACCCTGCGTGCGAGGTGGTGGCGCTTCGGGCCTCCACACTGGATCTGCAGCCCATAGGAAAACTGGGGGGGATCGTTCCAGCCGCGCTCCTTGTTCCCTGGGGAGACACAAACGGCACCAATTACTGGCACTACATAATGGCCAGCCCCAGGGCTTCCCCTCGCCCCAGGACAGGAGGGGGGTACCTAGGGCTTCCCCTCCCCCTGCAGTCCCATGACAAGCGTGGGCGCAGGACTGCCCCCTCCCCCACGCCTCAGGACGAGTGCCCAGGGCTGGCGCGGTCGTGGAACGTCCCCGCTGGCCGGCCCGGCCCCCTCACCCGGTTTCACGTAGCGTTCCGCCATCGCCACGTCACGGCCGCGCATGAGACCACGCCCCTTCCGAATTGGGGCGTGGCCTGGGGGTGCTCAGTGCCCGGCCCCTGCCCCGGCCCCGCCCCCGGACCGCGGCGTGGAGGCGGTGGCTGAGCCGCGCTGGGCGGAGCTTCCTGCCGGGCCCGGAGCGGCACTGCGATCGGCGCGGGGGCTCGGGAAGCCGCGATCGCGGCCGGGCCCAGCCAAAGTCGGCCGCCGGGGGTCACTCCAGAGCCGGGGCTTTACTCCACTGCCCCGCGTCACGTGGGCAGCGCACCCCACCCCTGCAGGGTCCGCTGCGGAGCCGGCCACTTCGGGCCCTTCAGCCAGATCCCTGCAGGAGTGATCCCCGGCCCGGCTGTCCCGGGCCCCACTGCTCCAGGGACGGGCTCACTGCCGCCCTGTCCGGGGGCCCTGCTATCCCCAGGCCGCGCTCGCTGTCCCACGGGTATCCACTGCACCCTGTCGTTGGCCAGCCTCATCTGGCTTCAGCAGCCATCTCTGTGTTGATGACTCGCAAACCTGCCTCTTTCTGTCTCCTATTTATCCTGCCGCCCTTTATCCCGATTCCCGCCCCACTTCTCTGCCTGGGTGTCTCACCATCAACCAGATGAAGGAGGTCAAAACTGAACTACTTATACTGTACTTGAATGGGTTATCTAGGGAGGTGGTGTAATCCCCTTCCTTAGAGGTTTTTAAGGTCAGGCTTGACAAAGCCCTGGCTGGGATGATTTAGTTGGGGATTGGTCCTGCTTTGAGCAGGGGGTTGGACTAGATGACCTCCTGAGGTCCCTTCCAACCCTGATATTCTATGATTCTATACTTATCCTCCCTGCTAAAAACCCCCTTCTGCCCCATCACCTTGACAGTGCCACCAGCCTCCCTGGCACTCGAACCTGTAACCTTGGGTCCCCCTTGCCTCAGCCAGCCTGAGCCTGCTGCCAGATCTTGCCCTATTTTCCACCACAGTTCTTACAAAAGCCAACCAGTTCTCTTTCTGCACCCAGACCCTTATCTTCCATCTTGACAACTGCACCTGCCTCCTCTCGGGCCTTTCTGACATCTGGGTCAACCTCTCGCTCCATTTGCAGCACTGCTACCAAGGGCTTGTCCCCAGCTCCTTGTGCTTACCTGATCATGTCCTTGTATAAGCCCCTCCTCCTGCTCTCCCTTCTCCCTTGTTCACTACTTAACCTTCCCTGTTTGCTGTTGTGTCTTTGCCAATTATGCCAGCCTCCACCAGCCATTTGTCTGTCCTCCGGACTGTCATAAACGGTTAGCTGAGAATGGTTAGCCCCTAGGAATGCCTGTGATCAGCACTAAACGCTGATACCAGATGGCAAGTCGGTGCATCCAGCTAGCAGGACAGCGACTGTCTCCTATTGTGTGTATGTACAGTGTCTAGCACAAAGGGCCCTGGTCCTCTTTGTCTGTGGATGACAATACAAATGACAGTGATCTTACCAAAAGTGCCATGGGATTTTTGATGACTCAACTAGTCAGAACCTTAGTATTTAATCTGTTTTGAAAGATGACTTTTCCAGCAGTCCAGTACCCCCCACACCCTATCACCATGCTGGGGTGTTATGGAAGAGCACCCCCTGTTGAGTTACCAAGACTACCCCCTACAGCACTAGCTGTTTCTTGGTGGTCTCCTTCCCAAGTGCTGGCCCTGCATACTTGGCACCAGCGCAGTGTCGCAAGCTTGGAGCCATGATTAGACAGGGAATTTGTAAGTGGTTTAGCTTGGCAGTTCTGGCCCCACTGCAGCAATCAGAGATTTACCATTGACTTCCGTGGAGCCAGGATTTCACCCGTGTCATTTTTCCCAAGAAGTCTGCTTGAGGGATGAGGCACGTAGAGGGTCTCAGGCACCAGTTCAGCAGCAGAGGGTGTCCAATGAAGGACTGATTCACAGCCTCTGACACTGAAGGTTTGTATTTCAATCCCATCCATCTGGTGGGGGGCAGATTATCCTCCATCTGCCTACCATGGATGGCACATGAACCCCATTTGGGGAGGCAAACCCCCTAGGGTCTCCCAGGGGGGCAAGTGGGCAGTTTGCCCCAGACCCCACAGGGGCCCCCACGAGAATATATAAAAAGCAACAGAGGGTCCTGTGGCACCTTTGAGACTAACAGAAGTATTGGGAGCATAAGCTT